CCCCAAAACCCCAAAACCCCAAAACCCCATAATCACTTGACAACAACTATGATAACTCTATGAAAAATAAATGCAAAACTTTTTCCTATAATTTTATATTCAATATTGCATGAAAATCAAAGTGAAGCTGTATTATGGGTATATCTTCTGTCATCATCAATATAATCAAACTTTTCAAAGACTGTAAATAAGGAATTCTCCTTATCTTACTCAATGTACTTTCTCAAGAGCTCATAAAATTGCTTATAATCTGCATAATTTTTTATAAGATAGCCAAAGCCCAAGCATGGGTCTAAATTCTTTATTTTTATTAATCTCGCATTAGTAGTATGGTACTTTGCTTTTTCCTGCTAGTAATTTTTACTAATATTTTTACTGTATTTCTAAACCACATGTGGGTCCAAATAAATTAACTTTGCAGGGTCTCCATTTTTGTACTCTTATTACCCAATAAAATAGTATGCTTTTTTTGGTTTCCCTCCCATTAATCCAATAAATTAGGGAAATTTCATATACTTCAAAATAACTTAGTGATAGTTGCTGTTTATTCCTTCCATTCCTAATCTGGCATTTACAATAACTAATACTTCATTTATCCACTCAGGCTCCTTGAAATTTTAAGACAAACTATAGCCATCACTAAATCTGGTAACGTTTTCATCAAAACTCATATAGAGGTTCTATACAATGGCAACATCTTCTTTCTGAATCTGACAACCCTTTTCCAACAATTTATCCATTGTAATAATCCCATCATTGAATGAACATATGCTAAATTATCTAAAAGGAAGAAATTTATTATTCAAAGTCTCCATTATCTAGCTTATATTATTCACTCCATACCAATCTCCAGGAAATTTCCCCAATTAAAGTCCTTCTTAAGCAATATTTTAAATTGATAACGCCGAATTCGTCTCTCCTCTAATATTGTCATCAAATCTATAGTATATTCAGAAAGATAAAATTCTATTACAGTTCAAGAATTTAAGGGACTTGATAGAAAAATTGTGATTAGACCAAAGCGTTAGCAACCAGCATCTAACCACTTCTTATTACACAACCCCAATTGCAATCAGTCGTTAAATTTTACACCTTTTGGCCTTAAATGCTAGTTTTCTCAATTAGTAATGGTTTGAAGTCTTTCTTGTAAGTCATCCAAATCATATCTGCAACAAATTTATCAAAAAGTTCTTGCTTATCGACTATATATATTAATTATTATTACAAAAGATAAATACCTGTAAAGCCCAGCAAATAAGTCAATGACTTATCATTAATCTGAACTTTATTTTAGGAGCTGGACTTTTAAACTGAATAACCAAAATTTGTTCTATAATGAATAGATAAATATGTTAGGATAAATTACAATTTTTCAAAGAGTTTTTGTTTTATTGTAACATCAATTTTAAGTGTATGATTCTTGTGGAAATCTTGTATTTCCTCATCTCCATTACTTACCACAGAGTATTAGTCTTCAACATCAGATGATTGGAGTGATTTTCTGTTTTCAACAATCGAACGATGATTTAGTAAATATAGGTTAGGGTTTTCATCCTGATCTTGCATTTCATCAAGCGCTAAGACACTGCCCATAAGTCTTGCAAGATCATCTCTCCTAATAACTTCGAAGTCACTATAACCGGCTGGTCTGACAATTTCTGCAAAAGATGATTCCATTATAACTATTATTAATTTTGATCAATCAATTTGTAATTTATTGAATTATTGAAATCAAAGGGGTTTTGGGGTTTTGGGGTTTTGGGG